AACTCTAAAATAGAGACAACCACCTATATCAAAAATTTAGCATGAATTGGATGCTATTACTATCTTGAACCCCGATGCCATGCACAACAAGCTAGAAATAAAAAGTTAGTCTCTTAGTTATGTTCCTAACTCTCTAATAGAGACAACCACCTATATAATAACTTTAGCATGATCTGAATGCTAAATTTAGCTAAACTCCAATGCTATATATAAAGTAATATACTAACAATAAGATGCGGACATAGGCACCTAAAAGTTCATAACAAAAATAGAAGATCCAAAATTTCAAAGTCCTAACTCCTAAGACATACTTTAAACAAGTCTACTCCTTTTGTTTGTCTTATAAGAAGCCTTCCCTCATCACTAAAAAATGCTACAAGTAGTTGTGAAGATCAAGAAAACTCGATGATTTTTCAAGAATTACAGCTATATTAATGCATATAAGTGCGTTTACATGATGCATTTTAATTAGGTGACTTCTCATTGTTCTTTTAGGTACTAGTTGAATAAGGAACAAATTCAAGAACTACGATCCTTAATAGACCCCACATCCTTAATGCTCTTACCACTCTAATGGTATGATGATGGAAAATATTTTTCACTTCCATATTTATATGTAAAAGCCCAATTGCAATTCTTGCCCAATGCATCTAATGTTTAAAAAAATATTTGTTTACCCAACGTATCTAATGTTCAATGAACAACCGGTACCAAAATTTGTTTATCCAAATCATTTTACCTTATTTATAATCTATGCCATTTTCATTACATAAAAAATTAATTTAATTATTATTATCGGTAAAGCTAAAGCAATAAACGTAAAAGAGACCGACCTTGGGAGTGCTTGCAAGTAGAGGAAGAGAAGAAAAGTAGCCAAGGCCATCTAAGTAGGAGGAGGGGGTGGTAGGTGGTGTCCGATGAGTGATGACCAATGACCATGATTTCATAGAAAGATGACAGAGAGTTGCATTGTGAGGGGTGAGCAAATAATGGGTGGTGATTAGTGAGATTGGGATTTGGAGGAGAATTGGAGCTCGGAGGAGGATTGAAGAGTGGAGAATAGGAGAATGAACTTGAAAGAGGTTAGGGAGGACGGAAGGAGAGTGGGGTATGTGATCGCATGTTTCAACAAAGAATGAAGATGAAAAACTAAACTATTAAAGTTAACCGAGTTGGGGAGTTAGAACTAGATTAGGATTTTTTTTTACTATTTATTTTGGTTTTTGATCGAAATCAAAAAAAATTTTCCAAAAATCAAACTAAACGAAATAATTTTAGTTTTTCAGTTCACTTTTAAATTGTATAATTTTAAATTCAAAATTGAACTAAATTTCATAATTTGTTTCGTTTTTCTTTAATTTTTGATTAAGCTGAACCATTTGCTCACTCCTACCTCAAAGACCCTAAAGTCAACATTTGTGAATTTCATGGTGGAGCTTATGATAATCATTAACATCATGCCCCTCACCTTGTACAATTTGTAAAATTGATCGGCATGGGTGATAGCTTGGGACTCAACAAGCCTCTTGTCAAAACCATTAGCCTTCAATATGTCGAATAGACTTGACATAGGCATTTTCAAAACTAATCTTCTCTTATCACATTCCACATCATTCGACAATAACATGTTTATCCCTCTTATAGCATGGTTCGGTAGAGGGTTTCAATTGATATTCGAGGCATTTGAGGAATCTTCAAATGCGATCAAGCTTTGATTGATCGAGTTAGCACTCTCTTCTTAAAGTACACATAGTTTTCAATGTTATAACCATTGGCGTCAACTATAATATTCGTAAAATTTGTTTGGCTTATATTAATGGGGGAATGGTGGTTGAATCGATAGAGATGTCATAGGAGTTATTTGGCCAATGATTATAAGGTATTTAGAGAGATCATTAAAGGATATGGAAAGCGGTGGCAATATGTCATTGAATTGCCATGTATTAGCGTTTATTAGAAACTTTTGATTTGGTGCCTTAGGTTGGTTAGTGAGTTATTATAGGTTTTACAAGTGTGTTTAAGGGTGTTGTTGAGGTAGATTAGGTGTTTATATAATTTGGTAAAGGTTGTTTGGTGTTTGGTAAAGGTTGTATGACATTTGGTATTATGGGAATGTTGGTGTTTGGATTGTCACTCCAGCTACATTAGTTAGAAAGGTGTTCATAGTGATTGCGAACTAGGTAGTTAGGTTGGCTATATTATTCGAAAGGTGAATTGATTGCCATTACTCCATGAGTTGTTTCATTGCCCTCTAAGATTGACGGAAGACTCTCTAATTTAATGCACTTTAGAGTCCTTCCTATTACCAAAGTTACTTTTCTTGTTCTCAAATTCGAGAGGTAGGCCATCCTTCTCGAGTTAATAGCTTGTTCAATTTGATTAGTGATAGATACTATCTCAATAAAGTTATTCAATCCATTACTCGGTAAATATCATAATATGGAGTCTTGAAAATATTGATGAAAAGAGTAACCAATTCTCTCTTAAGAAAAGACAGGTAAATACAAGATACTATTTCTCATCATCATTGAGCATAATCCCTAATAGATTCCCTCACATCTTTTTTCATAGACTATAGGCTCGATCCGTTCGGTGTTATCTATAGGTTGAATTTGTGCTTCATGAATACATTCATCAAATCCTTCTATTTTTTTATCTTGGTCCGGTTTAGGTCAATAAACCGGCTAAAAACGGACCCCTTAAGACTTTCAAGAAAGAAGTGGATTAGTAACTTTTCATCATATACTACCTTAGCCATTTTGTTCAAATAGATCTTTCAATGGGTCCGAGAACATTGACTAAGGACATTGACTCTTGATGTACTTGGTAAGTTTAGGCATCTTGCACTTCTTAAGAATCATCACATTTGGCATGAGACATTTATCTATACTAAGGTCGTATATATCCATACCTTCGATAGCTCTTAAACGCTCCTCAATGGCCATGAACTTCTCTATTTTGAGTGCTAAGGCTATCTTTTCCTTGGCCGACTCTTTAGTGATGAAATCGGTAGTTAATGCCATCGATGTTTAAAGAGTCTAAGCTAATACCAAGGGAAGGCCTAAAGACTAGGAGTAAAATCATATGTTCCCCCTAGTGTAGGATGGTTGGTATGATTAGTAATATCGAAAGGCTCTAAATGAGGCATACCAAAAGGTGGTCTTTGGAGTAGTTATCCGAGTGATTGACGATGACATGGTAATGAACACTTCACTTCGAGAAAATTAATGACTAGCCAACTTCTCTTTGGATGATAATGTCTAAAGACATACAATTTTGTTGACTTTATTCCAACACAATAGAAAGCCTCACAACCTCTCCCTTTAACACATCTATCTTCTTCTAGTAATTTTACTCGAATAAAGCCCTTTTGCTATTTTTCATCCTTTCTCTTGCTCTAGTGTGTAAACACACGAGGGAAAAATAGTTTTGGTAGGTTGACTTATATTTCTACTTAGACAAATGATAACAAATACGGGATATAAATAATATATTAAAAATAAAATGACACTCGAGATTGAATATAGAATAGCCTTCACATGAAGGGTGATAAAAGGACTTCATTGTTGATTCTTTGAAGGCTTGAGACTATTTTAGATTGGTCTAAAGATGAATCATTATTTCACTACTAACCTCGAGATTTTGATCAAAGAGTTTCCTTCATGGTCGATTAGTTTAAAGATAAAATTTTATCTCATCGGTAACCCTTCCCTTTTGTTTTTTTCTTAAGAAAGAAGCATGTCTCGAGAAAGAAATGATCTCATCATAGATTTTCTTAAATCTGTAGAAATCATTCTTTCATAGGTGTGCTATTTGAAATAAAACATTTCTCCTTTAAGGATTAGAGTAACTAACAACGTTATTAGGTATATCACTTCTTAGCATTTAGGTGGTGATTAACGGATTCAACGAGCATTACTATCATCAAAAAGCACCCCCATTTGATTATCATTTCCCTCACAAAAAGATAAATATCACCCATGACATATGAAAAAAAAATGCCAAAGCTTTTATTAATCAAAGCTGGAAATCCAAGTAAAAGTTTGATTTCATTTACGAGTACATCTTTTTTTTACATTTTAAAATGAGAAAAAGCATTCAAAAGAAAACAAAGCATCTATATCTCGTATCATACTCCAAAGACCCTTTCTTGTCTAGCCACCTCAAATAGCAAGTCATCACATCTCTTTAAGTATATATCATGAAGGACTCACAAGAGTCGCTGTTATATCCCTTCACTAATGTTTCTACTCAAAATTTGAAAGTTATTGCCTCTCGAGTAACCACATTAGCTTGATTATTCATCCCGATCAGATTTTCATAGTGTTCATCATAAATTTGTTATAAGTGATATTGCATGTTGAACCAATACATAGATTGTCTATGCTTGGTCTACCTCTAACTATTAGTTATCCCTTTCTATAATCTTCTTTTGAGCCTTATCAAGTTGTTCTTCCAATTCTTCTTTATTATTACATTCCACTTCAAGAGAGCTTGCTAGGTTGATATTCTTTTTAGAAGCTCTTTTATTTAGTTCTTCTAACACCCACTTATGGTTAACTTGATCATATTGACTTTGTAAATCATTAAAGTTGGTGGACTTTGAGGATAACTTTGTTTCGAATTAGCCACAAAAGGCTTTCCACTTATTGTCTTCAATTTCTATATCTTGTCATGTTTGAAGCTTTACCTCCACACCCCTCATTTCATTCTCAAACTCTTTTCTTTTCTTCTTTTCCTCGGCCAAGTCACTCATTAGCCTTAATCTTTCAACTTTAAGGCACCCAATCTCCTCTTTCATTTCATCTTCAACAAACTTAACTCTTTAAGTGTCATTTTCTTCTCTCTCTCTCTCTCTCTCTCTCTCTCTCTCTCTCTCTCTCTCTCTCTCTCTCTCTCTCTCTCTCTCTCTCTCTCTTTAGGGTTTGGCTTAAAATTTCCTTAGAAGATATTTTAGAGATGCCTTAACTTGATGAAACTATCGATGGGAGTATACTAGGCTAAGTTTGGGTAGCCGGAGGCTTGTAATTTTTCACTCTCATCGATTGGCACATAGGATACCTTACGGTAGTGGATGTCTCTCGATCAACTATTTTTTAATGCACCCATATTTCTTAATGAGATTTCCTATTGTTATCTTATAGTATGAGCATAGCACTCACAAGTCTTACTTGCATATGATGAATGTCTATTCTTGACAATGCTACGACTTGAGACATATAATAGTATCATTTAAATGCATTAATGTTTATCTTACATCTTTCGATCAATCATTAATGTAATGCGCATCATATAGATTTCTAACTAATTCTATCAAAATATAAATGACAAGAATTAATAGAAAGACTCTTTTATTAATTAAATAAAGAATGCAATATTACAATAAATCAAAACATCCAAATAAGGTTAGATGGACACCTACACTAAAAGTCGAGCTAACGACATTAAAAAAATACACTTATTGGGAGGCAACGCAATCATTTTACTTAAATTTTGATTTTTACACTTAGTTGATTTTTTTATTCGTTAGTGCTCCATATTTGACTTGATTTTGAGAATTGATGCGAGCACGAGTACTATTAGGCATTGCAAAAAGAGGTGAGAAGGAAAGCCACGTAGGTAGGAAAGGATGGCATGACATATGTATTACCAACATACATGCCCGTGTGTGTGCCTTATATTTCTAAATTTAAAGTTGAAAGAAAGACACACGGGTAAAAAGTAAAAGCTCTAATTGTACGAGAGGAGATGACATGTACGTATGTGTCATTCAAAAGAGAAAACAAAACCATACGAGTAGGGGCGAGAGATGGTTTATGGAGTAAATTAAGGCATATCCATGTGTCCTATGCTTGGAACTTCAAATTTCATGAAAGAACAAATACACGGGTAAAGCGAGGTACAAGGCTTGTGAGTTATGAAGACACATACTTGTGTTTTTGATATATTTTTACAATGTAAAATGAGAAAGAAAACCATATAAGTAGGGGAGAAAGACACAATTTATGCAAAAAAGGAGCACAAATGTGTGTCCTAATTTCTCTTACAAAGATACGGCTTGCCTTTTCATTCTCCACCATACATCTTTTTCCTATATAATTACCTCCTAAGACGAAAACCCTAACCCATGCCTCCTTTTCTCAAAACCTGTCAAACTCTCACAAATTTAAAGTCATGAGTGCACCAGCCTAGAACTTCTTTCTCTTCATCTTTTCCCCTTACCAAAGAACCACCATATCTCTATCTATGGACAAAGGAAAGTAAATAGTTGATCAAGGAAGAAAGGGAAGCCAAAAGACACTAGTAAAATAAGGAAGAAGATTTTCTAGTTTTGATAATATATTTATCTATCCTTCTATTAAGTTTGAGAATGATGAACAAAAGCAAAGTTATGATATGTTGATAAATAAAAAGATAGTAGCAAATAAGTATATTGATTGGCAAGTATTGAAGGTTACTTGGCTTGTTAGAGAAGGTTAGAAAGATGTTGATTAGTATAGGTTAACCTACATTATTGGATACGGATGCTCTTTATTATAAGTAATTAACTTTAGAGTTCTTAAGTTTTTTCAAATTTGAGATAATTGATGAGCATGCTACCACTTTTAAGTTTTTCTAATTTCGAGTAGCCAATAATGGATATGCATATGATAAAAGCAAAATAGCTGATATGTTTAGTTGGCCAAATGAGGAAGCTAGGCAACCACTTCCTATTTTTGAAAGGCCTTTTTGGTGAGAGATAATGAGTCTACCCGATGCTATCTATAGTGCCTCTCATTTTAAATCTTTTACTATTTTGAGCCCCTCTTATCGGTTCATTCATCGAATTCTCATATGGACCCTATCCGGCTGTAAAAATAGTAATGAAGGGGTTAACAAGATGGAGCTCGATATCTTTTACTTTATCTCTAAGAAAATTCATATAGACTTTGCTTACTACCTCACTAAACAATTTTCCTCGGTAACAAAATCAAGTGAAGAAAGCATTATGATTGGTGGATTTATCACTCATATCATAAAAAAAAAAAACTAAAGATTTTCATTTGACACACCACCACATTGACAAAAGCCATGGGGACTACTCACTTAAACTTAAAAAAGTTAGTTAAGATTGAGTTAGCGAGAAAGAAAAGAAGAAAGTACCAAGTTCGACCAAATAAATGACCTTGAAGATAAGAGGAGGGATAATGATCCGATAGTGATGGGGAGGAAGATGAAAATGTTGGTATAAGAGGAGCGAGTTGGGCATGTTCCTTATGATGATACCTTAGTTGTCTTATCATACATTTTGGAGCGACTTGCATCTTGGGTGGTTGACTTCTAGCTCATTTGTAACGAGTCATTTTGACTATTTGAATCAACAAGTCCAACGGATGGATAAGCATGTGATGCTCAATTTTTAGACAATCAACAATAGGTTTGATAGTTTATTCAATGATTTCACAGTGCATTTTCTGTCACCCTTGCCTCTTTTTTATTCGTTGCATATCGGATGGATAAACATGCTTGTTTTAGTTTTAGTTTTTAATTTTTTATGTTTTATTTTTAAGTTATTTAAAGAAAAAATGTATATTTTTGTCGGTATGTATGGATGTTTTTGAATGATGTTAAGATTTATGTAAATAATGGGTTAGCGTTAATTGAGTTTGAAAGTTGCATAACATGATTAAATAAATTGACTAGTAATTTGAGGTTGATTAGTTTAGTGATTCATTTCAGAATGATAGTAAATTAAATTTGGTAGACATAGCTTGTGAGATTTTGAGCCTATAGGATTGAACATCAACATCAATCTCTACCTCTTTTATGTGAGAAGTTCTTTCATAGAATTGTTACTCTAAAACTTGTGTTGATTTTGTTTGAGATTACATTAACACATTCATGCATGAATATGATAAAGGTCATCTTTGAGTTAACCATTTTAGCTTAAATAGCCTACCTTATAATTTACCATTGATGCGCCTCTTTGAGCCTAATTGACTTTTCTTGTTGTTTAATCCATTACAAGCCTTTTAACTTAAAAATAAATGTCTTTGCCTTACCTTAGGGATTAGTAGAGCATTTGCATTATTAGTGGAATGAGTTTTTGAACAAGTGTGGGGATGAGAATTGGACAAGAAAGCTAAAAGGGTTAGTTATTTTGGTTGAAGTATTATGATTAAGATGTTTGGAAAAGATGGAAGTGAAGGATTGAGTGTTTTCAAAGTAAGACATAAACTTCATGCAAAAACTTAAGGAAAACATTATATGAAACCAAAAATTGAAAAAAAATAATGATAATAATATATGTCATGTTTTGTCCTTGTCATAATCAAAGAAAGTATGATGTTCTTGTGCTTAAGAAAAGAAAAGAAACGGAATTATGAGAATTGTTTAAAATTTGAGATGATAGGTGTCGAGTTCTAATAATTTGATTTACTCAAGTTTATGTTTTGAATGCACTATTAATTTCTTTCGTTAAACACTCACATACCATAAAAAGTGGATGCATCAACTTCCGGACCACACCTACAACGACCTCCGAGACCCTTCTCCATATTTAGATATGTCTCGGTCTCTTCAAAATATAACCAAGCTATAAAGTTAATGAAAATAAAGAGAAAAGAACAATCAAAGGTTATGGATTGTACATAAGTGAAAAAACTAGTAACATGTACTCAAAGTCAAGTTAAGTGTGTTTTTCTTAATTTTTAACGAATTTTTTGACTAAATTGTACAATATAAAACTCCACGATCCTAATGTTGATGTTACAAATGATTGTTAGAGGCAAAGCTGATACTATTATAAGAGGGTAATTAATGGCATCACATGCTTAGACCAAATATAAGGAAAATTGTTCAAAATGCAAAAAAGACTAGGTTCGACCATTAAAGTTCCTAAATCACTTGACGAACTTACATGTGAATATTTTGATCTACTCAAAAGTCAATTTTTTGGACCATTGAAGCACTATGATAGGTTGTGAATTTGTGCTTGTTTTTTGGAATATTATAAAAAAATATATGTATTTATTAGCTACCATGTGATTTATTTATTGTCATCGGAATATTAATGTTTTTATATGTATTTGATATAGATGTTGACTTGGCTTGCCTTTGTTAGGACCATCCGTATATGATTTTATTTTGACAAGTTGAAACCATATGATGTGATTTTGTTTTGGCGGAGTTGGGACCATATGCACATGCATATGCCTTTGTATGTTTGGGAGCATAAGTGTATAGTTGGGAATATTAATTATAAAGTTTTTTTTCTTTCATGTGAACATTTCGGGTTGGGACCATATGCATATGCCTTTCTATGTTTGGGATCATAAGTGTATGGTTGGGAATATTAATTACAAAGCTTTTTTTTTTCTTTTATGTGAACATTTCAAGTTGATTTAGAAAGATATTTGTACTACTCAACACTTTAGTACTATTTTTTTATATGTCTAACTAACTAACTTTTTTAAAATGGTCAAATTCATAACATATTTTCTACTTTAAAGTCGTATACTATAAGTTTATAGCTAATGACTTTTGCTTCTATATAGACTCTAGTTTTCTATAGTCAAATTTGTTTTTAGTCTGCTAATCTCCTAACACCATTTGTTTTTACCATTTCACAAATGATTTTTTAAGATATTACGTAGTTTTGTAAAGCTATAGTTATGAATGTTGACAATTGGGAGGCGGCTCATGTAATATATTACCAAAAGGAAAAAGATTAGATATTTACTTAGTCATTAATGGATCGCTTTAAAATGGGATAGCTTTTGTAATATTAGAGAATATAACTTAGAAAAGATTATTAAGAGCAAAACAATTATTGTATTTTGGACTTGATCTTTATCACGGCTTCACCTTTTCAAAATGGAAGAATCCTTATCCTATAATCTCGCAACCGATGTCACAAGTAGTCTTACCGGGATTTTAAAATCAACTATGGACTTAATCAAGTAGTCTTATTGTAGTTCGGTGTTTTATGCAAAATTAAAATGGAAAGCAAATGACATGTGGGTTAGGGTTAGGGAGTTATTTTGAATTATTGGTTTTGTTATGTGAAGAAGATAGGAGAAGACGAAGGAAAAAAAAAAAAGAAGAAGACAAAGTTCGATTCTAGGAATAAGAAAGGAGAAGACAAAGGAGGAAGAAGGGAGGATCCGTGGGTTCGTTTCTAAGAAGAAGGGAAGAAAAAATGAATGAGGAAGAAGGGAAGAGAAGATGAAAGAGGAAGATGAGAGGATCTATCATTTCGATTTTAGGAAAAAAGAAAGAAAAGATAAAGGAAGAAGAAGAGAGGATCCGTTGTTTCGATTTTGGGAACAAGGAGGAAGAATGGATGATCTTTAGACAAAGGATTGGAAAATTTGCAAGAACGAGGTACTATAGATAATTAAAATGAATTTGAAAGGGTTAGGGTTAATTTGAATTGGGAATTATGGATTTATAGTAATTAGGGTATTTATGGAATGACATGTCTTTTAAGTTTTGTAATTGATTTTCTATGTTAGCGCTTACATGGAATCCTATGTGGCATACCGAGTCTAGTTATCATACTTTGTCACTTGCCATGTCAATGTTTCAGGATTTTTAGTCGAGAAATTAGATCGGTGCTAGTATTTTTATCAAAAACTTAGTTAGTGACCTTTCTATACAAGTTTTAAAGAGTGAGGTAAAATCATTAAAATGTGTATAGTTCATGACTTTACGAAACATTAAGGCTTTTTAAAACTCCTCTATGATTCGAACACATTTTTCTTATCCAACCTAAAACAAAGATCACTATGAGAAAATTACATCATAGCTTTTAAATGACATGTTTGACTTTTGACAAACTATCTTGAACATTTTTATGAATGAAAATACTTTTATTTGAACATCTTTGTGATTTATTTTAAATAATTTGACTTATCTTGAATAGAATCATTCAAGTTTACAATTTAGTGAATAAAAATCAAAACATTTATTTAATGATTTTTTCTCAAAATATGAAAAATATTTCTATGATTAATTTGAAAATTGAGGTACAAGCATTAAAAGATAAAAACAGAGCACAAGTAGTGATAGTAAGAGATCCTATATGTTAGTAGCAACAACATACCGACTCTATTAGGAAAAGAGTTAAGTCATAATTTTACCCCTTTTACAAGTCACTTTCCTTAATTATTTTTGCCATTTTATTTTCAAACTATTTATTTTTAAACAATTTATTTTTTTTTCAAGTCATTTAAATTTTATTCATTTATATATTAGATTAGATCAACATGCTTATATTTTAAACTTCCATACACTCACTGAAAAAACCAAAGAAAAGCTGCGGATCGAAGCTCTATCCATTTTAGGATTAGATAGGGAGCTTCGATAATGAGTGTGATGCAAGTCCATTGATGTTTATTTCGACTTCTACTCGGCTTGAAACATGCTTATATATAAGAGTTAGTGAAATAATTTTCTTATTACATAAGATCGGAGGTCAGGTTACCTCATCAATAATGTGTATAATCTAAGAACTTGAAAACTCGTTAGGATTAGACAAGTTGTATCAAGCCCTATAAAAACTAGATTTAGTCCATTAGACTTAAACCCTTATAAGATACAAACTATGGATGTCATACTTGCTTGTGGTACCTCTTTCATATTTTTCCCCTAATCCTTATAAGATGTGTGAATCATGACACAAAAAACCTTGACCATTGAGAGTTTTTGGGTCATGCTAGAGTAGGCCTATTATGAGGAAGGTAATTATCTATCCTAGTAAAGAGATGAGGGAAATTAGAAAGTAGTTTTATCGTAATGTCAAGTTCTAAAATTTGCTCTAATATAAATTAAATAGTTTTCTAATAATTTATCTCTTATGATAAATAAAAGCACTCTTTGCCACTTTTGAAATGTTCTTGATGTTTATGAATTTATTTCATCATTAAAAAAAAATCATAATAGATATACACCACAACTTCAACTCTCATTTAACAAAATTCAAATTCAAACTTTCACTTAATGCAAACCAAAACTTTTTTCATTTAGTAGTACATGTAAACAAATTAAAAAAAATTAAAAAAAAATTAAACTTCCTAGCCAACCACTCAAGAATAAACCATAAAGAAACTATTCAACAAATGATATAAAAAGCTACAATTATTAATTTTAACCATTGATCAAAAGCCACCCAAACAACAATTGTTTAAAAACAATTGAGTCGAATACCAGTTAGAGAAAAATTGGTGCATCAAATGCATCATCTATCTTAATAATTTTGAGTTTCTTTATTTAGACACAATTTTTTGTTGGTTTGACTTAACCTTTCCTTATTGGTTTGTGCTTTTCAAAAGTCCTCAACCCTTTTATCAACTTTTATACAATCTCTTGTTGTAGATTTAATACCAACCAATATAAAGATCAAGAATCAAATAAAATTTCACCTATAATTGAAACAATAGAAAAAAAATATTAATCAAGATTCACATGATAGCAATAACAAAACAAATATTGCATAATACCCACATATTTATTATAAGAAAATTGAAAATATTAACCACCATTAACATAAAGAGAGCAACTATATAGAAAGGAAAGAAAAACCCACCTCTTTTTCCATCCTTTTCATTCTTTTTTTTATTTCTTTTACTCGTCCTTTAAAGAGATTTTTTATATATATAAACCTAGTTTTCAAAGAATTAGAAAAGGAAAATATCAATAATTAAAAAATTATGTAGAAAGGTTAAAAAGGATTTTAAATTTATATGTTAAAATTAGTTAGCTATTCAAAATTAAATTAACTTATTGATTGAGATTTGCCCTTGCAATAAAAATAAAATAAAATAATGCATCTTAAATTCCTCTATTGTTCTAAAGTTAAATTAGTTTTTGCCTTCGGATGAAGGTTGCAAAGTGCAAGTCATCTTTTTTCTTTTCAAAATAAATAGGTAATTAGAAGAATTGTGTAAACACAATAATACATGTTGATGACTCTCAATCAATGCAATAAATTAACATAAAGTGATTGAAGAATGAAGAAGTAATGATAGAAATTACATACTTATCTAATAAGTTTTAGTTGACCCTCCATCTCATTTGCAACACTGCCATAATTACCAACTTTGATCAATTCAGGAGTTGTAATTCTTATCCACCTTAGTTTGTAAACACATAAACACTTTAGTCAACTCTAGCAATAAGGAAAAGCAGGCATGAAGGAGAAGTACTATAGCAAGGTAGCTTACCAGAATTAAGAAACAGTAGTCCATATGTTGAGAATCGCACGATAAATAGTTGTAAAAATAGTTACAAAACAAATAAACCTAAAAAAATCATCATATTAGCTTTAAAAAAATGCATTGACTCTAGCAATCGAACAAAAATAGTGAAATAAAATTTATGAACAAACAAAAAACGAAATATGAAATTTTCAATCATTCGTCAAATAGAAGAAGTTGGTGCTGCAAATGTAGAATGAAGATGATGATCCCAGTATGTAGCAGAGTCATAATAAATAAATAAATTGATAAAAACATCAATGAGCAATAAGACCAGATAAATCATAAAGAATTAATGCGTATATTAGACAATATATTGCATTAAAAAAACATAATCAGAAATGTCACAAGCAAAATTCCAACTGTTAAATGAATGTTATTGTTGATAAAATAGAATCCACCTATTAAATCATAAAGTATTGAGTCAAACGATTGTAGCGAGATACTTTATTGAAGATTTGTCTTCTCAATCTTCTAATACTTATTTCCCTTTATCATTAATTTAACCGTAAATTAAGTTATTAAAATTCAGTCTAAGTATTTTCTTTTTACCTCTTTCCCCTCTCGATCGACATCCACAACATGACTTACTTATATTTTTTCATACCACCTAAAGTTGTGCTGATTCACATGAACAATAAAATAAAAATAAATTAAAATAAATTAAGGTTACAAAAACAAACTAACTAAACACCTAACAAATCAATCAATAAAAAATAAAGCATAAAGATTCAGTCTTTTATTAAAAGACTACAAAAGTGATTCACTAAAAAGAACTCTAAAATTACAGGACAAATATCAAAAAATAATAAATAAAAAACACATTCTCTTTTTCATTTTCTTTTCTATTCGTCATCTGTTCATAAAGAAGAAAGCAAAAGAATAATAATAATAAAAAAAAAAAACTAACTCTTTAATCAATCCTAAAATATTGACATAAAAGAAAGAATTTAAACTTTTGTTGAGAATTTGAGCTAACTCAAAAACCCACCTCCAATTAGCATTATATTGATCCATTTTTTTGTGATACTGATATTTCCAAAATAATTTTCAATCTTTCTTCTCTTTTCTCTTCCTAAGCATGCTGCGAGATATGGAGAAAAATATCAGAAAAAATAGATATATGTAGATTGCAGAAAGATGAGCAGTGGCGTGCGAAAGATAATGAAAATGATGAAAGATGAGATACCGGTGAAGTTTGGTGCAGTGGAGAGAGCGATATAAACTTTATGGGCTTAGGTAAACCAATTTTGCGCATTCAGTACCTACTGAACAGAGTTTTGATTGATCCATTGCTCAAACAAAATAATACTCAGAAAGGGCTAAAAAGGAGCCATATTTTAAGAGTAAAATGGATAAAATACTAACCAACTAATGCATATAAATTATGAAAAGAAAAGGAACGATTCCACCCCCAAGCTAAACACTACGATGAAATTCCTCCAAAACCATTCCAAATTTTACTAACACCTCCCACGTTTGAAGTACAAAATGGTCAATTTATATTACAAAAAAACACGTCTCTTTAAAAATAATAATAATAATAATAATTTTATAGCTTAAGAAAAATCACGTCCCATACTTTCCCTCCTAGCTGTAGTGGTCATTGAATTTGACTTCCTTATATATCCATGTTTGAAATTAATATCGCAAAACTTTTTTATTATATCCTTAAATATAGTTCTATCTTCATTAAAAAAAAAAGAAGTTAAATAGTTTACCTTAACAAAATTATTTGAATGAATTCTAAAATACAATATTTTTCAAATACTTAATCCAAAAATATATTAAAATAAAATTGAAGAAATTATTTTAGCTGATCGATGTTATCAATATATTAATATATTTAATGACTCGCAGATACCTTGTATACAGTCTCAATAATTCCCTACTATTAAAAAAATAAACGTACATGAAAACTTAATTTTGTTAATAGTCATGTATGTATGAAATGTACAATATCAAAACAAAATATTTATTTCTTACCAATCATCATCATTATTAAGGGAAAGAAGAAAGATATATCTAACATTTCTATTGTTAGAATGCAGTTCAACATATTTCACCTTTTTTTTTTTTACAAAACTCATTTTGACAGTTTTTGTAAAAAAAAAATTATATTCATTATTTTTTTTTCAAAACAATAAAGTCGATGCCTTGCATCTACACTGCATAATGCATTTTACGCTTTCGTTAAGTCAATAGTTAAGGCAGAAAAAAAAATCTCAAAATGTAAGAGACCAAACGAGAATATTTTAAAATTTTAAGAATTGGAAAAAAAAATACAAGGACCAAACAAAAAAGCATCAAGAGAGTTTGACAAAACCAACCCAAAACATGAAACACCATGCAATCCGAAACAAGGATGAAAACAAAAAGTCTGAGAAAATACAAGAACCAAAACGAAAATGTAGAAAAAATTCACCAAAAGTGAAAAACGAGTAGCATGCAACTGTAAATTATAAATTAGTCCCTCTCATTTTGAGAAACAAACTAATTAATTCCTCTTTTTTATAAACTAACTATTTAATCTTCATATTTTGAAATCTACTTGTAATTTAGTCTTTTTTGCTTCTTTTAATTTATTTTGACTTTTTGTTTCAACAAAAAGAAAAAGAAAAAAATATAAAAAAATATAGAAAGATGAATGAGAAAATAAGAGATTTAGTGGAATAAAAATAATATTAAATTAAGTATATTCAACACTTATTGAAAGGCTAAATAACCATTTTTGAAGTGAGAAAGACTAATTAATTTGTTTCTTGAAACTAGATGGAGTAATTTATAATTTATCCTCATTCAATGCTTGCTAAAAGAAAAAAAAATAGAATGACGAAAAGGACATTACCTAAAAAACTAAAAGAAGCTGGGGTGGGACTGTTCATTTACTGTAGTAGTCCCACCCCCAATTCTTTTAGTGGCTGCAGCATTTTTATTTTTTTGGCTAACATCCGTTTTCCTTCTTTTTTTTCAGTTTCTATATTTATAGGACTATTATTATATGATCAAATATATTATTTAGGTCCTTATTTATTAGAAATATGTTTTGTTAAATAATAAAATTATTTGTAGTTAATAATTATAATATATTATAATTATATTTTATAAAAAAAATAGCGAGTGTTTTTTTTAAAAAAATATTCGGCCTCCTTTTTTTCTTTTTTTTTTCAGTTTCTATATTTGTAAAACTATTATTATATGACCAAATATATTATTTAGGTCCTTATTTATTAGAAATATATTTTTTAAAAATAACAAAATTATTTATAGTTAATAATTATAATATATTATCATTATATTTTATACAAAATATCAAATAATTATTATAAAATAGTTATTTGTATTTTTACTGTGAATATTGTATTTATTATACAATATAATATTTTATTATTATTTTAAATTATGATATAAATAAGATATTAATATATTTTTTTATGAATTTGAATATATATAAAAAATTTATAAGTATTTTAGTAATATAATATATTTGATAATTTTACCAAATAATTAAATTAATATTACATTATTATTAGTTAAATATTATTTTAAATATATTTGGTACAATAATATAATATTTATTAATAAATTATTTATTTAAATATCACATGACAATCATTCCCCTTCTATATAAATAATTTATTTTTATATTTTTTTATCATGAAATTAGTTGTAAAAAATATTAAAAAAGATCGTTATTCTTTTTATTTTATTTACGAGTTTAATAGTAATAGAATATTATTTAAATATCAAATGATAATTATACCATATAATTAAATTAATATTACATTATTATTAGTTAAATATTATTTTAAATATATTGGTATAATAATATATTTATTAATAAATAATTTATTTAAATATTAGATGATAATTATTCCCCTTCTATATAAATAATTTATTTTTATATTTTTTATCATGAAATTAGGTGTGAAAAATATTAAAAAATATTATTTTTTTATTTTACTTACAGTTTGGCAGTAATAGAATATACATAATGTTTTTTAAAATTTTAGTTTGAATATCTATATCTGATTATATTATTTTTATTATTTAAAATTTATTTCTTCAATTGTTTGTTTCTTATTAAAATTCCCATCGAATTAATTTTTAAATTTTATATAATTTTATTTGTTAATAAATTTGATTTTTTTTTCATATATGGCTTTTAAATAAAATTTTAGAACATAATTGCTTTATTTTTTAAAATATATTATTATACATTTATATGATTGATTATTTTTATGATTTTTTAATGAAAATGACATTGTTGCATATATAAATTCGATGAGAAAGCGAGAGCTAAAAGTGTGTTTCAGATCATTTGACTTAATTTTTTTAAAAAATAATAATCAATTACAAAAATAATTTGGCTTGCTTTTTCTTTTAAAAAAAAGTTAATAATTAGTTTAAAAATTCACGGGTTTTATTTGGTTATATATATATATATATAATCAAATTTATGAAAACTAATTTTATAGTAGTTTTTATTTAAATCTATTCACTTCGATATATTTCATGCAATTTAAGTGGATTTTTTTATATATTTTTTAATTTATTTTATATACTACGAGTCTTATTTAAGTGGATCAATTTTTTAAAAAATAATAATTAGTTAAAAAATTCACAATTTTTATTTGGTTTAACATATATAATCGAATTCATTGAAACCAAATTTATAGTAGTTTTTATTTAAATCTATTTACTTCGATATATTTCATGTTATTTCGAGTGGATTTTTTTATATTTTTTTATTTATGTTATATATTGTAAATTTGCTAAGTACAATATAAAACTAAAAGAATTGAGGTTTTTGAACGAGTAAATGAACGAACCCCACTTCTTTTGTTTTTTTTTTTCCGCTCGGGTTGACCGAGTAGCAAAGGCCTAGCTCTTGGACACGCACACGACAAGCCTTGGTTGCTCGGCTTGGCCTTTTTTTTTTTCCTCATATATATATGAAGGAAAAAAACGCATCTTTAGGCTACAATGGCCATTTTGAAATATTTTTTATTTTTTATTTTATTACAAATTTGTAATGGCTGATAATTTTTTGATATAATTTTATTTGTTAATAAATTTAGTTTTTTAATATATGAATTTTGAAATAAAATTTTAGAACATCAATGTTTTATTTTTAAAAAATATATTATTATAATTTATACAATAAATTATTTTTATATTTTTAAATGAGTGTTATATATATATATATATATATATATATATATATATATATATATAGAGAGAGAGAGAGAGAGAGAGAGAGAGAGAGAGAGAGAGAGAGAGTTAAATTTGAAACTTTATATTTGTCCAAAAACCATCTCAAACATATTTTATAAAGTAAAAGTCGTTTGAATTTGAAACTTATATAGATCTATCACTATTTTATGTTTAATTATTTTAATAAAAAAAGAGTGTGGAGCGGATAAATTTAAATTCGTGACGATTTGGTTATTAAAATTCTAAGATGTGTCCGAAGGTCATCTTAATCTAAAGGATTAAAGTATTGGGTAAGATCTTAAAAATGATTTTATATATTACTCTCTAACGAGTATCTCATTATTTTATAAGGTTGATACCGTCACATATCCTTATAAAATAGATCAATTTTTTAATTTGTCCTTAAAAAATGGCCACTAATCTACCTTTATTATTAGATATGGTTTCTAATCTATTATTTTAGTTAAAATTTTCAACTAAATTAAGCATATAATTTGCACATAATATGTGGTTTGATAAAGCTATCTTGTTATTTGGCACAAGTAATCTATATATGCTAATATGAAATTTAATTTTTGAAAATTAATCGAAAATTTTGACTAGAAAAAGAGATTAGAAACCTATTGAATAATAAAGACAAATTGAAAGTGTTTTTTTTTATAGGGACAGATTGAAAAATTAACCTATTTTATAAGGACATGTGAGGGTATTAACTCTATTTTATCTAGTGAAAGAGTTTGAATGAACTATGGTTTCGTGATTTTTTTCCTACACTAAAATTTTTACCTAAAAATTTGGGT